TGCTGAGTTTTCACTTGCATTTTCAAAATTGTTGAAAAACAGTCAAGAGCTGTTTTGTTATTCAATTACAGGACTATGATCCATCTGGGAAACTTTTTTTTAACCTAAAATCACCCCTTCTCATAATCTCTCTCAATCTCTATGCATGTGTGTGTGTGTTGTATGTGTTGTATGTGCACTATGTACATCGTGTAAGAAGTCTTTGCGTGAAGTGCAGAGGATGTCTTTAAAAAAAATTTATTCTTTCCGTGGCTGGCTTGTTTTGACTATGACTGTGGTAAGCAAAACATAATTCTAGTAGAAAAGATCACATTTGACAACCCTGACTTTCAGCCTGACTAGAGAATGGAAAACACTCACATTTTTTGGGTAGTTTCATCGTATGCCAAGATCTTTATCACTTCCCAGTTTCCTGATGTCAGATGCCGCACAGTAATTTGCTCACTTTTACTCTGCAAAGAAATAGAAAATATTGATTTTCTTTTTATTTAAAAAGCATCTCTCCAGTAAACATGAAAGTACCAACTGCTTGTGCCACTTTTGATTCTTTAATTCTCAGCAACCGTTCGGTTTTCTGTTGTAAATCTCAAGGATGCGCATGGATTCCTATAAACGCAAACCCAGGTAAAATGCTGCCTTTATTTCTGTGCTACAGGAAAATCATTCAGAAAACTCCTTCAGGTGAGAATACACCAAGTGCACTATCTTGGCGGCAGCATTTGGCACCAGCCCAGGACTTCTCATCTGAATGGCCAGCTGCTGTGCAGTTTGGACAGCTTTAAAGAGAACATTTCAGAATAAACTTGACTCCACATAAATACTCAGTGTTACATGCCTTTTAACCTTTGCTGTATGGGAATTAGCATAAGATTTTCTATTTTCATTCAACAATTTGTTTCTGAGACGAATCCATGTTGATGTCTATAGCCGCAGTTTATTTTCACAGCTATATGCCATTTTATTATAATAATATACCATAATTTATGTTCTAACATTCGAGTTGTTTCCAAATTTTTGATCTTAAAAACAAATCACCTAAGAACATTCTTATTAATGTCTCCTGATGTGCATGGCAGGGAGTTTTCTGAGACAAACACCTGGGAGGGGATTTCTTGGTAAGAGGATATACACGTTTTCTATTTAACTAGTGTCAAATTATTTTCCAAAGTTGTAGCAATTTATAGTCTAC